GGAACCAGGTTATATGAATTGGGAATTTGATTAGGTTACACTGAAAATTAGACTAAGTTCTCTTCATGAAAATTGTAGGCCTTCGTCTTAGCTTCGAATTGGTATAAGTTGTACCTCAATCCAATAAGCGTAGCCTCGGATGTACCTGTTCCGTAAAAACCCGTCAAATCTGTCTTCTATAAGCTTTGTTTCCGCACTTGATATTAGCTTAATCTTTGTTCTTGTATTGTTTTAAGCCTATGGAATGGATATTGAACTGAATTTGAGATATGGATAACTTTGGGTTGGATTGAGTAAGATAATGAAGCCATAAATGGCTGAAAAAATAGGTAAATACAAAGGGCGTGCTGCCCAAATTTTCGCTCAAGGACTAAATTTCTATTTGAACCTGTATATTTCTGCTTGGCAAATAAAGTGATCATCTTACCATTCTAAAACCTAATACCTCTTTGGTTTGAAACTCCAAATGTTTACTTACTGTTTACCAAAATATAGAGGTTGACCTCGGGTTCTCTCGGCCACAAGTGAATAACTTTTAAGTGAAGTTTTAAGGGTGAAAGTGAGGTAGTTTTGCCACCTTTTCATGATTTTCATCAAGGCATATAGTCTATTGATTTTGAGCCACATAAACGATTCCGGAAACAATACTTCTTAGCTTATCTTATTGGATTTCGATTTGTCGATGGTTAAAGTGTTTTCTGTCAGAAATTTCATAACCTTTTGAGTTTGGTTTCACGGTTGGTTTATGAACCCTAGTTATTCCCGTCCACGGATCCAAATACCCTCTTTACACTTTAAAAGTCATTTTTATATGTTTACTCGCGAGTAGTCTGGTAATTCTTGATTGCATCTAAAGCATGCTAGATGGATTGTAATGTGTTCTTTGTTTAATTTTAGGTTTCATTGGTGATTGAGAAGTGGACGTTATTTTGCGTATATAGGTGAGTGTTCCTTGTTTGTTATGTTTCATGGTTATAGGGCTTGTATGAATGATTGATAACATGTTAAATGTTTTCAATGATTGCTAAAACGAGTTTTCTAGGCGAGTGTGTACTTTATCGCACTCGATAAATCGGCCTAAATGATTAAGAAATTTTCAGTGATTGAACGATTGAAATGTTATTTGTGCATGAATGTAAGCCTTTTGGCTGAATTGGCCACTGCCCCTTGTTTCCGGTCGTCTCGAGCCAGAAGCGGACTCGGTCGGGCGATTAGGGACCTGGGTGAACGTTTTGGTATACTCGAGTATTACCTTGTAGGTTGGTGGAGGTTGGTGGAGCCTGGACAATGTCCGGGATAGGGTGAATGAATGAATGAACGAATGAATGAACGAGAAGGTTTACTTATACAAAATGCATTTTCAAATGATTGAAAGTATAAGGGAATGAAAGGAGAATGAATGAACGAACGAACGAATGATAGCTCCATGTGAGCCCGTATCCTTTTAATGAATGTGTTTATCGCTTTATCTTATCTTTATATCTTGAATTATTGGCTACGTGTAATGAATGCATTGAACTTCTTGTTTGCCTATGTGATCGGAACCTCACTGAGCTTTCCAGCTCATCCCTTTAGTTTTGTTTTCCTTAACACGTGAAGGCGAGCAAGGACGAGAGCCTGTATAGACTAGCTTGGTCTAGCTCTTGGTTTTCTGTTGTAATGGTTCTCGCCCTAGTGCTTGGCACGGGCTGGTTGTATGGTGAATTGAGAACCTTGGTTTATTTGACGGTTGTACTTTCTCTTGAGATAGAAATGTATATAAGTTCCGCTTTAAGTTTTGACTTCTCGTACTATTTATTCTTGTGGTTGAATTCGGGTTTTGATTAAGGACTGTAATGAACTGGATCCTTGTTTTACTCTTCTTGAGGTTTTATTTCTGATTCGTTTGAGTGAACGACTGAGTCCCGGCGAGAGTTGGGCAGGCGACCCGCCGAACCCTTTGGTACGCCTTAGGGGGAGGTGGGGCCGTCACAGACTACAATTCCGTATCTCATTTGCTTCTGTGAAGCTTGCAGTTAATACTAAGGTGGGCTTCAAATAAGGGCACGCACATAGGATATACGTGACAAAAGCAGCCAATTCAGTCGAATCCAAAGGATTTCAAAGCTGTTTCAAAATCTGAGAAAATAGAATAACAGGAGTTTGGGGTAAATTGGACAGAAAATTGATAGGGAGGACTCAATACACACCCTATCATCCTATATCCACACCCTAAATACCAATATGTCCTTGAAGCCCTCAACACTTAATGGTTTCCTTCTCACCTTTTGCAACTATTTATGCTTTCGTAAAATAAAAATAATTCGCATTGTCCAATTCTTTTAACTATTAATTCCAATCTATAATCATTCAAATGTTTTCAAGCTATGCAGTCTCCTAATTTCTAATATTTATTTCATATCAATAAATTTCCCACCAAAAATTCCATTGCTTTCAGAAAATTTTGGCCCTATGTGATGTGTAATATATGAAATTGTATTATCCCTGTGTAACAATCAGATTTTACCCAAATATGATTATTACTTGTAAAAACCCAATATCTTGATATTCATATAATCCTATTGAAGCCTTGGTCATTATACACTCAGATGTGTTATTACTATTGTCATGAATCAATAAATGATCCTTCTATGTTTTCAAGCATTAAGGATGAGATTTGTGCCGTTACTTCATGAGAAAAAACTTTCAAGCATTGGAGAATAACATAACGGTTACTTTCACTTGCAAGTTTGGGGGCCACGTGCAAGTTTCATCATCCTAGACAAAAAGCTGCGATTGCTGGAAGAGTTACCTTAAATGTCATGGGCTACCCATTTTCCTATTTTGTACTGCTCCTGACCTAATGCGGGTTCAACCTTTCCAGTTTCCAGAATTATGGCTTGTAATCATACAACCCTTACACTCATAATGAAAATTAACAACTGAACGGCCAGCTTACACAAAATCTAAAACTGAAATAACTATTAATCATTAACACCAACTGAAATACCACTACGAATCATTTACACCAATCATTAACAGCTACAAAGCCAAAACCGAAAACCCCAACCAAAACTTAAAATACAATCTTAAAATCGTAGGAAGGCAAACAACGAATTAATCACAAAAACTGAAAATTTTAATGCACATGACATAGAAGACAACATTACATCTGTATAAATATCGCATCTTTACTAAGTTCTACACCTAATTTCCAACACCCTTAGACACACAAAAGAGAGAAAATAAACAGAAGAAGAGCAACAGAGGTATTATAGGTACCTGCAATACAGATACCTCTCTCAAACTTGGTGAAACTTCTTTACATTTCCTCCAATACAACCAAGCAATATAAATTCATCCATCAGCATACACAAATAGTATAGTACGATTTTGCCCCAAAAAAAACCCCAACGAGAGAGAGAGAGACTATTAGAGAGGGGAATTGGGTAGGAGAAAGAGGAGGTGGAAAGGAAAGCAGAAATTCTCTGATTTTCCATGTAGATATTAGGAAAACATATTGCCACATCTGCGATCTGCTATTCTTGTTTTTTTCCTTTCTTTTGTTTTTTTTATTACCATTAGTTTACTTTCTCAATTACCCTTTTACGTATTATATTTATACTTAAAACCTTTACTATACTTGTATTTTCACATTCCATTTTACTAATCTACCTATTCTGAGTTTTCCCCCCCTCATATTTTTGGTATCATGGCAATACAAGAGAACCGTTTTATCAGTTCTCTGAAGCCAGATGAAAAGATGTGGACAATTCGAGTTTTACTATTACGAAAATTTAATATCGAGCATTATATTGGAAAACAGAAATCTAGAACTTTGCAGAAATTGATTTTTGTTGATGATGAGGTGAGAAGATATATATATGTTTATGTTCATCTCTTAATTTATATTCATATTTTGTAATTTATTCCCATTTCCCGGACCAAGTTACTATTATTTCTTTTTTTGCGTTTGTATTAGGTTTTTCAAATTTTAAAATTAAATGATTGGCTACAAAAGAATTTTTTAAATAAAGTGAACATGTCAAACCTTACTCCTATTTTTTTAACAAATACAAAAAAACCCCTAATATTCTTTCTATTTACTATGGCCAATAATCAAATCACCACTATATTTATTTCTTTTTCTACTTCTTCAACTTTGCAAAATTTAATTTTGGCCCCCGATGAAGTGAGAAAATATATACTTTCATGTTCATCTGTTAATTTATATTTATATTTTGCAAATTATTACCATTTCTTATTTACATTTCAATAAATTTACAGGGAACAAAAATTCAAGCTATCATGTTTGATGATATCATCACAAGATTTGGAAACAATTTTCAATACAATAAGTTGTACTTACTTTCAAATGGAAGTGTGAATAAAACAAACACTTCGTATGCAAATGTCAACAATGAGATTGAATTGGTCCTACAAAATTACGCTCACATCAAAGAAGACCATTCTCATGTGCCAACAAGGAACATTATCTATGCATCTATCGAGTTTGAAGAGGCAAACAAACCAGACTTCATCAACAAACGAATAGGTAACGTTTTCTTCCAAAATCAACCCACTTCCTTTCGCAAAACTTCTAACAATTTTCTACACTATTAGGTTGAATCGTTGCACTTATTTACATTCAAAATACACTCATTTTCTACAGATGTCATAGGAGTGGTTACAAGTGTGGCTCAAATATTGGTGCTTCCAAAAAGACAAGGTGGATACACTCAAAAGAGAGAAATCACCATAATAAACAAAAAGTAAGATTACTTTTTAGCTTGCTATCTTACGATATAAATGTTTGAAGCACCAAGTATAAAAAAACCTACACCCAGCATCACTTCCTTCTTTATATGTAGAGTGTTCATAATTTGGCCACCTAATACTTTCCCTATTTCATAACTTCGCAATCATTACTTCACGCCTCACATTTTTATATTAAAATATCAAAAATATCCCCATCCCCACACTGTAGGTTTGCCACTATGAAAATCATCTTATGGGGAGATATGGCAATTAATGAAGGCCAATTTCTACAAGAAGTTGCATCTCAAAAACCGGCAATTGCAGCAATGCAATTCCAAATGTCTGAATACCAAGGTAAAAATATCAATAGTAAAAATAAAATAATAGTATAATTATTACTTAACATTTTAAAATATTCTAGGAGAGTTCCAACTGTCAACAATATTCATGTCAACTCTACAAGTCAATCCAAATTGCAAAGGAGCTTTGAAACTTCAAAAGTAGTATGAATACAATTTTCTCTAGTCTTTTTTTAAATACAAATTGAATGCCTTGAATTACACTACTGAAAATTTATATAGGATTACTACAAAGAAAAGTGAAAATATTGAAGCTGCAATTTTGAAGAACAAGATGGACTTGGCCGAGCACATCCAACTCAAAAATATTATTCATCAACAACATTCATTGAAAGAGGTAAATTTATCGCCGCATAAATCTTCACTTTAGAAAATCCCTTCAAAAGGAAACCAAACAACATAGAAACAATAACAAATAACTGCTTTTGCAGCATGCTTTCTACACTTTCAATGCAATTGTTAATGATATAGAGAACAAAGTCCAACCATACTACAATGCTTGCAAAGGATGTAGCACAAAAATTATCAACTTCGAAGAAGATGCAGAATGTCCCAAATGCAATTATCCAACAAAAGATTTTACACCAAGGTAAGTCACTCAATTAAATACATGACATGAAAGCTAGACTTCAACAAGGCAAACTTGAAAAGCACGGTTAACAACTTAATACCATTTTCAAAATAGGTACAATATAAGGATGGAAGTTGTCGATGGCCAAGATGTAGCAACAATAATACTATTTGACGACTTGGCAACTACTTTTATTGGATGCCAGTGCAAGAATATATAGATAGCACTACATCTTTCAAGGTAAGTTCTTAAAAATTATTAAAATAATAAACACTTCAACTCTTAGTAGTTAAGCATTCAATCTAAATGATTTACAAATACTGAACAACCCAACAGGACAAGGACCAATCAAAGTTGTATAACAAAATGATTGCCGCAAAGCAAAAGGAGTTCAAGTTCCTCATCAAACTTAATAGAATCGGCCACTACTCTCATGGACATCTATCAATGGTGGCAATAGCATTCAAGCAACTACCGAATACAAACAAACAAGAAGATGCCACTCCATCTATTGCATCTGAACAACATGCTCGGCAAAGCATCATAAAAGACAAGAATTCAAAGGTGATTGAAATTGAAGATGATGCTCCACTACCGTCCTCCAAAACCAAAAAAGACAGAGTAAGAACTACCGCATCCAAGCTCACAACTCAATTGAAAAAGAAGATAAAAGTTGAGAAAGATTAAAGCACTAATGATTACTGTTTCACGCTTAATATCTTCTCTTTTTCTTCATCTTACATTCAATAAGATTGCTTTGCATTTCTTACTTTACAAACTTTTGTAACATGCAATTCCTACCCTTGCATCTATTCCCAACCCTACATTACAAAGGTCAACTCATTATAAAAACAAAACCAAATGATAAAACTACATGTCACCCAACCACGTGCAACGCACGTACGGTATCACTAGTTGTACTAAATGTGGCATGACAATAGCAGAAGGACTACCACTACAAACATTGGGCATGCAAGCACATTGATGGATGTACACTCCGCTGAGTCTTGAACAAGAATAGTATCGCGATTAGAAAATTGATCCTGACCACCCGTAGCTTGCTATCGCCCTCAAGAGTAGAAGTAAGAAAACAGACACCAGTTTCTATGCAACCAAATGGCACCATATGAACACAAGAACGTGAGGATTTTTCTTTTTTTTTTTTCTTTTTCAAAAGCCTGGCTTCACTCCTCCAACGTGAGAGCGCAGTCTTCTCACTTTGGGACATTTCAGCACATCATTTCCGATGAATAGCATTTATCCATGTGACTTAAGTAACTAAGAAGTAGGAGTCCAAGTAAAGTCAATGAATGGCAATTTTCAATAGCCACAAGAGACTATAATAGAATCACTGTAAAGAAGGAAAAAGAACAATATATATGTACTGCTATAAAGAACAACATAACTTATATGATATAAGGAAATAGAAAACATTCATGCATAACATCTTTATTGTAAAAAAGTAAGAAGGAAAAAGAACAAAGAATATTTTTTTTAAATAACCATGCATGGCAAGTCTTAAACATAAGCTAACAACTTTTACACAGAGAAGACACTCCTACATGAATTAAGAATGGAAAAGCAAAATTGGCGAGTAACTAAAGGACATAAGACAGAAGAAAAAGCAAAGAAGACAAAAAAAAGCATCTGGCCTGCAATAGAATTCCTGTCCTAATACATAACAAAGAATCAGCTTAAAAGAAGGATCCTCGCAAGAACTAAAAGGGCAACAAATTCTATAGGAAAAAAAACCATATGGATGTAAAATAGGCAATGACAAAAATAGGAAGGAAAACTCAAAAAAAGGAAAAGGCAGGAAAGTTTAAAATGAACTCACCACAAATCCAAAAGCATATACCTAGCAACATTTATGAAGAAATGGAGGAAAAAATTGAAGTTAGTTCACAAAAAAGACAACATTACAACACTGCTCAGATAACAATAGCCAAAAATATAAATTTGTAACAAAAAACTCATCGAGGCAATGCACGTGAAGAAGCTGAAGAGAAAAGAGGCTTTGAAAATAACAGAGAAAGAAGCAAAAGAGCAAACGAAACTAACAGTAGAAACAGTACAATGCCGAAGAAAAAGTAGTCTCTTATCGGTAGAAAGGCAAAATAAAAAAAAGAAAAGAAAAACTAAACACACTAGAAAAGCATCATAGCATTTGCAAAATTCAGGACGTAAGACATGGACAGAGTTCCAAATACTGTATGAACAAGAAGGAAAATGGAGAGCAAATTCAAAGGAGCAAGTATAGCTTAAAAGGTTCTACACTGGGTGCGATTATTTTTTTTACATCTATAGCCCATGCACAAAACTAATTGAACCTGCAAAAAGAAGATAAACGAGCATGTTTGACAAGGGCAAATAAGTAACAGAAGACAGATAACACATTACATTCAGCTAATGACTACCCCAATTTTCATGACAATTCATTACCAAAAGCCTGACAATAGGTAAGGTAGAAAAGAAAAAAAGGGCAACCACAAACTGGTTGAAGAGAAGAAAAAGGACAATTACTATTATCATTATCTCTTTAGTAGGTTGCATGAAAGCAAAAACAGTCGGGCTCACAAACACAATTCACTCCCCAATTTGTAAGCATCAAGTCACATGCACAGTGATGGAGGATGATAACTTTTCTGCAAATCACGAAAGTGACACAAGCAGAACCACACACTTTGGAAAGTTTCCAAAGCACTTAATCTATATATGTCTGATAAAGATGGAGATGAAGAAGGAGGGGATGAACTCATGTGACAAGGATTCTTCCTTCTCCAACCTTTTATCTTTTGTATTGGATCTTATGTGTGGTTAATATACAACTTTTGGATTTGTATTTCGTTATGTATTCCTAAAGCTTCACACCTTGGGTTTGATTGAACTTTTTATGATTGTTTTGTGTTGATTTCTTGGTTAATTGATAGTATTGTCTTGAGTAAGTTATTTGGTACTTGTGTACATTTAATCATGATCAACTTGCTAGTGATTGTGATAATCTCAAGGTGCCAGATTTGTAATGAAAATTTGAGTTTAACACTAGTTCATGAAAGTGCTAAATTTAAGCAGTACATTCATGAGATTAGAGGTGCACCTTTATGACTTTTGTTGCTTTTTTCATGTAATTTCATAGAACTTTATGAACCTATAGTTAGTTTATAACCACAAGAGTGGTATGGAGTAGTTATAGGTAAATTGATTCACTATAAGAGCAGGTTAATATATATATATATGTAAGAAAATTATGCATAATTAGTCAAGGTAGTTGTAGACACCAAATTTTGATTATTTTGATTTTTTATCATTTATTATTTATTTATTTTTTTAATTGGGTTAGATTCATCATTGTCATTTTTGTAAGATGTTAAAAGTGGCATTAATTCTCTTAAATTTGGTTTTGAAAATTGTTAATTTATTTTTAATTGATTTTTGAAAAAAATGAAAATGACAAAAAGTAAAGGAAAATGTGTGGATAGGTGGAAATGTGCATGTTGAACAAGTGTACAAATAATAATCATTAGACAAGTGTCTAAGGAATTATAGGACAAGTGTATAGGAGGGAGGTGTTTAAGGACACTTGGAGACTTGGGGGGAGCTGCGACTAGAAAACAGAAAAAAGGCTAAAAACGGAAAAAACAGAGCAGAGGAAATGGAGGAAAACAGAGCAACAAGGGATAGAAAAAAAAAACAACAGAAAAAGGAAAAAAATCTGGAATAACAGGGAGCTTCGGTGAGAGGAAAAAACCAAGAAATAGAGAGGCTGAGGTTGGCGGCAGGGCTTAAAAAAAAAAAAAAAAAAAACAGAAAACGAGAGCAAGAGGGAGAATGCAAGCTGCGTTTTTCCTTGGAAAAGGCTGATCATCCAGCATTCTTGAGTGAAGATTTTCTCCATCGAGGCATCATTCACCAAGCTGTTAGCTTCTGCATACTCTGTGACATCAGGAGAGAGATTTCCGTTCAGAGATCTTGGAGAAATAACATCAGGAGATCCCTCGAATTTGGACCTGAAGTCGTTGATCCCATCTCCCTGTTCCATGTCAAAAGCTGCAACGAATCAGCTCCAACGACTCCTTCGCGTTTCCTGTTTGGATTTCGATTCAACAAAAAGCCTTCATCAGGTACCATCCCAAAATAATGTCCCAACTCATCTCGCTTTTATTTTGCTTTTTTTTCCTGGGTCTTGTTTCTTTTAGTGTTCCTGCGGATTTTTCTTTTCTTCCAAGGCCTGCAATCTGTCCATTTGTTTTGCAATCTGTCTTGTCGGAATTCCTTGCATAATATTGGATTGGCTTTGTCGGCGATTTGGGTATATGTGTATCGTGCACTTGGGCTTGAAATCTTGAGGTGATGTCGCTAAGTTGCCGTAGAAATCACAGCAGGAAAAAACTAACAAAGAAGAAGAAGATGCATCGTGAGCTGGTATGAAATGTTTAACAAATCACGTTTTGACCCCCAAATCTTTGAGTAATTTCACTAAGGCCCGAAAACTTCTGTAAATTAATCATTTTTACCCCCTTTCAAGCTTAATTATATTATTATTTTTTTGTTGTTTTAAGTATGCTTCTAAAATAATTAATCCTGGATTTTGGAATGAAATTAGACCTATTAGCTTTGTTGGGTTTTTGGTAAAACAAAAGAGGAATTGGGTTTGGCTATTTGTTTGGGCTACTTGGAACTGGGTTTGGTTTTCTTTCATTTGGGTTCGTCTTGGGCTGGAGGATTAAAGCCCACCAGTTTTTGGTTATTTTGGGGTCAGAATAGTGACTAGCCCATTCCATTTGCCTTGGATTTTCTATTGGATTTGATAAGTCTTGGCCCACGAAATAAATACAAAGGCCCAATGGTTTGGTCCATTAAGAAACCAGAAAACGATTTTGCAAATCAGTCCCTGAATTTTTCCTTGACTGTACTGTGGCCCTGGATTTTCAACTTCTCTCAATTCGGTCCTTAATTTAATTGCAAAATAGGTCCCTAAACTTTATTTTTCTTTAATTTTGACCCCAAAACTTTGTTTATTTTTGCAATCAAGTCCTTTCTTCTTTTGACTTCTTGAATGTGGTTTGCTTACATGATTCAATTGATTCAATTTCAAGTTTGCTATTTTATTTTTATGATTATTTGATAAATAAATTGGTACCTTGACTCATTTATTATTTTTGGAGGGTAAATAAGTGGTTTCACTCAATTTAAGACATCAACTCAAGGGAGGTATAACTTCTTTTATCTTTTTGTCTCTCCTATGTGATCCAACGTGCTACGTGAAAATTGCATGTCTACTTGCTTCCCTTTTTTTTTTCTTTAATTTCTTTCATTTATGTCATGTACTTTTGCTTTTTATTTAAGTTATTCTTTATGGGGTATGTGTACACCTCTTGGCTTGTAATAGATAGGGCTTGGAGGAGCATTCGATGAAGAGCTGTTGAAGACTTGTGCCTAGCTAGCAAATGTAATAGTTATGGCCTTAATCACCTTATGTATCTTGCATGTCTATGTGTTATATGTTTAATCGTTTCTTAGGTTTTGGCATTTAGATATGCATGCTAAGTGTTATGTGCTATGTGATTGACATGTCTACTCGCTTTCTATAGCCTGAATAAATGTGATGGATGAATGTACGTTTCCACTAGTCCAACGCTAGTCGGAATTCATAGAATGGGCTAGTCCAACGCTAGACCCTTAGGGAT